ACTATAAACCCATAGATACAAAGATCTTACTGGATGCCAAGCACAAGAAACAGCAAAGACTATAAAATCCTTTTTTCTTAAGTTCCATCTCTGCATTTGTGTCTAACCATTACTCTCATTTCCAAAAAATATACTTTAGTTCTTGTTTGTTTTATTTCCATGGGATTCTTTATTCTTAGAATGCTGATTATCCCTTCAAGTGCTTCATTACCTTCTAATAACGCTCAGGGCCAGGTCCTTCGTGGCTCCTGGTCATGACCGTCTCCGCCGGACCTCCACCCTACTTCCAAGTGAATATGGTCTCTTTAGTGGTTCTCTACTTATAGCTTTAATTAAATTGTTTTTTTTTCTTCTGATGCCTGTGAGCTTCTCTTTCTCATCTTTAAAATACCAATAAACAGTAGGCTCCACCCAGCAAGCGTTTGAGAAAAAAAAAGAAGAATATGAGCTCTGTGAATATACCTTTGTCATTACAATATTTTCAGCATCTAATAATACCTAGAATAATCAGTGTTCAATTATTACTTCAAAGGAAGAAAGGACTTTTTACTGGCTCACATTGGTAAAATCAAATGTTGTCCATGTAAACTCTGTTTTGCACATGGAGACACAGTACAGAAAAAAGATCCATGAGTTACATCCTAGTGTATATGGACCTGGGTTCGTATATATGTTTGTGTGTATGAACATGTAGATTTGATGGTGAGAATCTATACAAATAATTCATGAAATAAAAAAGATAATTTCAGATATTAAAAGATATTATGATGACAATAAAACATGTTGATTTGGGTTGGAATATTTTAAATGGTTAGGAAAATCTTTACTGAGCCAGTAATACTTGAACTGTTACTTCTGGAAAGAAGAAACTGGCCATTGACATTTCTGGGACAGGAGTTTTCCAGGCAGAGGAAATAGTAAGAACAAGAGTTACAAGGTAAACAGCGAATGAGATGGATTTGAGAAAGAGAAGAACCCAAGTGTGCATGGCATATACATACAAGGACCAAAATCAACCTGTGAATTTCTTGTTAAGATTAGCAAGTGAACAAGACCAAGTAACAAGTAAACTAAGTAAAACAAACCACAAACCATCATGCATTGGATGACTAAAAGCAAGAGGTTGAAGAAAATAGCCCCTCAATTCATATGCACCTTGATGTCTAGAGTTTCAAATTCAGTGATTATTGAGAGTGCCCTCTTACTTTGTCCAATAAATCCCTTGACTTCAAAATTCCTCACATCAGCATTTTAATTTTCCTGGTAGTTGTGACACCAAGCCTTACCAATACTGTGCACAAATTGTGCAAATCATCCTATAGGTTACTGCAAAATGAAAGCTCTCTGACCCAAGGCTCTGCTGGAGGCAGGTCTAACATATGCAAAATGGAAGATGATGACTTGATCACAATTAGCACCATGTGCTAAACAGGGGAAATTCTGGGTGTGTTACTTGTAGTACATTTCATTCCACCTAAACATTACTTTTTGACTATTGTTCCTGTATGTTTAAAAAGGCCTGAAGTTCCTTTGGTTCTGGTATCTCTACTTTTTGGGGAAATGCATTACATAATTCAGGTGGAGAATATAGCTGACTACCAAATTTACAGGTATTTAGATTCATGCATATAGCCACCTAAAATACAGTTTGTGGAATGTCAATAGTGAACTCTGTTAACGTATTTTCTATAAACCATGCACATCTCATTTACCAAGAAGCCATCAGGTACCCTTCTGCTTTTTATCAGTGTGGCCTGTTTATTCCTCTTTGCAGGTGAGTGTTAAGGAATTCTGGACAAGACTGGTCAATGATTGAAGCTGTAACATGATTGTTCTATGATGATGATAAAGATGGTTAATCATAGTGACTACATCTCACACTTTTAATTTAGAAAAAACTTTTATTTATATATTAACTCCTTTAATTTTCACTATAATACTGTGGGAGAGATAGCTTTATCCAATTCGAAAAACAAAGTTATATGTCAAAATAAGATCTGCTCTAGGTCAAACAGTCCTCTTAATCTAAGAGTCCCAGGATTCACAGTTATGTTCCCCTTAGTAGACCACAATTAACAACATGCACTTACCAACAGCTGCGTCTTCAAAAAGTAAATGTATATTGAATCAAAAATTCTTAAGCCATCTTTGATAAATTGTCTAAAGAGCTTCAACCACGAGAATTTTGCTGAGATCCTCTCATTTTATAAATAGCTGTCATTATTTTTTACCCTCTAGGTAGGCAAAGTGAAGAAATGATTAGATAGTTAAGTATGTAGAGAAAGAGAAAAGAGAGAGAGAGAGAGAAAGAGAGAGAGAGACAGAGAGAGAGAGAGATTAACATTAACTTGCATGACATATAGCTTAAAAAGGACAGACACCTTGGGTCATTTTACTCTGTTGCTATTGTTATTTCCACCACATATAATGACTACTGAAAGAAAAGCCTTGGTCTATAATGTTACTTCGAGACATGTGAAACACATTATCCCCTTTCTTAAAATATGTGGGGGTGATGAGCCTGCTCCAAGCCAGGATTTTGAGCTTACTTTCAAATGTGAAGGAGAGTAAAAATGGAAGATAATTCTACAGGTGAGAAAATGTCCATTATTATAAGAAAAATTAAATGTTTCAATTAAGATAACTGCAGCGACTAAAAAAAGTAGTCAAAAAGCTTTCTGAAATGATTCAGAACATAGGTACATAAAGAGAGACAGAGCAATCTTACTTCATGCAACCAAGAACACCTCGTAGAAATAGACGGTCTCTGAAACCTCAGAGTATGAACTTGATGAGAGTGTACTTTTTTACTGAAGTACCCTGACCTACAAGGCACTCAGCAATATTTATTATTGATATCGTTATTGTAATATATTAGCAGTATTGGAGTTAGAAAAAATCATGGGGAGGACAGAGTGTTTAAGAGGCAATTGTTTAGGCAAAATACAAATGCATCTATTGTGACCATTTGTTATTTGAAACTTTACTACGTTGAGTTCCATTAATGAGTATCTGCATGTGAAAATAACGTCCATCAAGTTTACCTATTTTGATAGTGATAGAGTAGAATATAGCAAAATGGTAATTGATTAATCTTGATGGTGTGTGTATTGGTGTATTGGTCCGTTTTCATGCTGCTTATAAAGATATACCTGAGAATGGGTAATTTATAAAGAAAAAGAGGTTTAATGGACTCACAGTTCCACGTGGCTGGGGGAGGCCTCACAATCATGGCAGAAGGCAAATGGCATGTCTTGCATGGTGGCAGATAAGAGAAGAGAGAATTAAGCAAAAGGGGTTTCCCCTTATAAAACCACGTGATCTTGTGAGAATTATTCACTAACGCAAGAACAATATGAGAGAAACTGCCCCGTGATTCAATTATCTCCCACTGGGTCCCTCCCATAACACATGGGAATTATGAAAGCTACAATTCAAAATGAAATTTGAGTAGGGACACAGCCAAACCATATCAATGAACTCATTGATCATTTTCACTGCACAGTTCTTTCATTTTGCCTGTATATTTCAACTGTTCATGATAAAATTTTTGAAATATTAACCTGATCTGTGTATGTGTGTGTGTGTGTATATATATATATATCTATATATCACATACATGTATATGTATATATATAAAAAATCCATCCATATGTGTGTGTGTGTATATATATATATATATATGCATGTTCGTGTCTGTGTATAAACAATCCAATGCTGTTGGGTTCTATAAGCTTTTTTTGACACTCATATGAATTCCAGTCGATTTAAAAGATAATTATGTAAGGAGTAAAAGTTGCTTTCTAACTATAGAAAACTTAAACTTTGTCTTTTTTGATGCCATAAAATTGCTTTCTTGATTAAAACAAATCATCTATCCCTTTCAAACTTTTCCTTCTTCTAAATAAGTTGAAGGGAAAATCAAATACAAGCCAGAACCACTGATTCTGAAAATTTTAGAATCGGAAGTAATTATAAAAATCATCTAGTTCATCTCTCCTCCCAAAGTTGAAATTTTCTTTAGAACTCTAAAATATTTATTCTGTACTTCCTTATACTATTTCTGCTATCTGTAACTAAACAGATCAAAAAATATTTTTCTTCTCCATTGTGATGCCCTTGAGAAAATGAAGTCAATGACTGTAACAGTCCTGAGTTTGTGCTGTTTTGAGCTTACATTTCCCACTGCTGTAAATCTACTTCATGCTTTACGGTCTCCAGACCTAATATTATCAAAGTTACCTTTTGGACATGCTCCATTGATTCAAGTTTCTCTTACTTAGAGAAACCAGTCTTGAAGACAATATTCCAATGTCTTATAACATTGAGCTTATGACCAACTAAAAATCCCAAGGTGATTTTCACATGAGCTGCTGCTCGACATAATAACTTGAAGCAACAATGACAATTGTGTAATGTTATTTCTTAAACATGAGATCTACTGTATCCTGTTGCCTCATAAAAATGTTACCTGTCGTCATTCATCTTGATGAATACTGTATGCATTCATTACTACAAATGACCAATATTCAATGCATTTTTACCTGCTTTTAAAAGATAATTTGAGGTACATAATTGACATATAAATCACTTGGAAATTTATCTTGCGGTCATATAAACTTGGAGAAGTTTATTATAATAATACTAACTGAAGATAAGCCATCCCTTAACAATAAAAATGTGAACACTGAATTTACCACTTTCCCACATGGATTTCATCATTTTAATTTTCTTCTGGAAAGAAGATATCTAATAGACACATATTACAGTTTGAATATTTATGAGAGTTGGGGCATGAAGCTAATTTTGAAAATAACAGTTCACTCAAGAAGCAATACCTTCCAGTTTGTGAAAATTATTCTGTAATTTATTAAAGACAGTGACAGTGTTTGACAGTTAGGGTTAAGAACTTTTCAAATATATAACATGGTGGTAATCGGCATGGTTTATTTGAAGAGCAGCTGCTGCAGAGTTAGGCGTAACTCGCACAACAGTCAAGTCTGAAACAACGGACAGTACCATGGGGGCTTTCATTTTCTTTTCCTTCATGCTCCTGGCCATGTTCTCAGGTAAGAAAATCACAGTCAATAGCTTTCCTTCTGACTCTCAAAGTAAAGAATTAGGAATGTTAAGTGATTTAACAATACTTTGTCAAAAGATTTAAAAATAGGTAATTCATCAGACAGAGAAATGGAAGAAGATAAATTTCCAACAAAATAAATATAGATCCAAAGTCATAAATATAGTGATTGAATGAAATAAGAGTGAATAGTTTGGTGTGTTGGAAGAGAAACAGGTACAGGGGACTAGGGAAGGCAAGATATTAGACTAGAAAGCTAAATTTAGACTAAAAGGCTTACGAATTTGTGAATATTCAAGTTCATAGTTTATAAGGAAATGGTTTTGTGATATAATCTGGGCCGTATGGTTAAATAATAATATGTTCAAATCCTGATTTTTCCACCCATTTATGTAATTTGAGGAAACTTGTTAAACTTACTTGAATCTCAATTTTCTCATTTGCAAAATGAAAATTATCATACATTTTTATAGGGTTGTTTCAGGGACTATACAGATAAATAGCTTTAGTTACCATTAATTGAGTTTTTTTAGGTACTTGACTCTCAACTTGTTTTTCTCTATTCCTTACCTCAGTATAGGTAGGTGATTTTCAGAGATGTAAATTTCTAGCTTTGAGATGTAAACTTCTCAAGATAATAATCAACTCAGTTAATTCATTTCTCAAGATAAAAGTTACGATAGTGAAATGGATTCTAATTTATCCCCAAATCATAAGCTCCTGCTTGACCATTTTTCTTATACCTAGTGAAATGAAATAATAAAATAAAGTGCCTCAGACCCCCCACTTCTTATATTTGTGGTTCTTTTCTCATTGAAAATACTGCAAAGCTGTTTCAGAGTTTTGAGTACAAGAGTGATTATATTCATCTTGTTAAGAAAGATCAGTCTTGTAGTAATATTGAAAATACATTAGATATAAGAAAAGTTATACAGTAATGCCACTGAGGAGCTGCTGAAGTAACAGAGTTGAGAAAAAGGGAGAGCTAAGAGACAGAATTAGGGAAAGGAGGAGAACAATACATGTGTGTGTATGTGTGTATGTGTGTGTGTGTGTGTTTAATAGGGAAGCAGATATACATATAAAATTACTTTATAGAACATATATTTCATATTTCATTATAGCAGGTACTGTAACTGTTGTGACCTTCAGTACCTTGCTAAGTGCTAGAAGTTATTTGTTGATGGAAGAAAGTGTGTTAGTTAGTACCAGATGTGGTACTAATACATATTTAGTGGTTATATTTATGTAGATTGGAAGATGAAGAAGAGAGATGAATCAGAAAAGCAATGCCAAGCACATCCTAGTGTTTGTAAAATCAGAAGGAAAAAAAAACACAAAACAAAACAAAGCTGAAGATACTTATTTTCCAAGTATTTCACTTAAAAAAATAGATAGTGAAACCACATTATAATATTTTAATTGCCTCTTATCACTCCAAAATTCACTCCTAGTTTTTATTTCATAAGTCTACTTATCAATGTTAGAAATGATGCATTATTAGGATTTTCATTGATTCATTACTTACAATAGCAAAAGAGGGAGATAAACTACCTGCTTATTACTAGAACACTGGTTAAATAAATTATGGTAAACCCATAAAATGGAATACTATGCAACCACTGAGAGAAAATAAATAAACATGCTCTATATGTATTGAGGTAGCAAAACCTTCATTGTATTGTTCTTGGAGAAAACAAGGATTAGAACTGTATGTAGAATGTGACACCAATTGTGTGGATAATTATATTCATATATGTTTGTAAATACATAGGATAGCCATGAAATAATTCACACACACACACAAAAAAAAACCCTGTAAATGTGATGGTGTCTTGAGCACTTTACTTTTACCATTTTCTAGGTAATAGGAAATAATTATGTACTAGGTAGGAAATTATTTTGGTGGGGGGTTTGGGGTGGGTGCATAGACAGGAAAGAAAAGGAAAGTCATTTTAAACTGTTTATCCTTTGCATCTTTAGGATTTGGCTCCATTTACTTGTGTCACCTATTAAAAAAAACTGAAAATCATTAATAAAAATATCTTACCAACTATTTTTTTCTATTTCATCCACATATTGACTTGAATTGATTTCTACTTGGTGTTAGCAACTGTTAATGAGCAATGCTTTATTCCTAGAACTGAAAGAACCCATACATGTATTCATCTGTCAACTGAAAAAATTATTTTTTCTCATTAGCTTCTCTGACTGAATCTTATACTTCTTATGTACCACATTCTCCAGGAAGAAGAAAGGATTCCACACTCTCTGCTACTTCAATTAAGAGACTATTGTCTAGTTTACTCCTCACATGATAGCATTGATCATTCTACTATGGTATAAAGTCCTACTTATTTGCCCCCACTACTAGACTTCTCAGCTTCATGCGGGCAGAGCCATAAATACCTTGTTCATTCCTAGCTCTTTCTAAGGTTCTTTTATAATAGTGGATTCTTTTAATTTACGTATTTTTTTTTTTTGTTAAATTGAGTGAATGTCTAAGTTATGCCCACAAATCATATCCACACTATACCACAGTTTAGTTAAGCAGATTGCTAACAGCTACGCTTCTGTGCCTGGACAAGATCTTAATCACCTGCAGTAGTATACCGTTAGCATGCTCAGCCCATACTAATTGATTATCGTTTGACTTTACTTAAATGGATTTGAAGGTAAAAATGTGTATATTTATAAAAATATAAAGCAGAGCAATTGAAAATTCAAGTGAGACCCTAAGTATAAGTCTGAAATAATCAACAGTGGAATGATTTTAAATTGCATAAATTGAAAAAAATAGCAAGGAAACTTATGCAGGAAACCGAACGTGAACCTAATTAAAACCTTTAAGAGAACTCCATATTAGGAAAGTGAATTTAAAAAGTTGAATTTTCAAGCAAGAAGGAAAGGTTGAGAAAAACATGCACTTCTAACAAAAAAAAAGAATGCCCAATGCAATACTTTAATATTTAGCTCTAAAGTCATTCCATTTGTTTATTCATTATTTTCTAGATCCTGCTCATCTTGGAATATAATCTGAAAAAACATAAAATATATACACACACAATTATATGCATATTAAATTGACTTGAAGGTACAAATACATATATTTATGGAAATATAAAGCACAGCAATGGAAAATTAAAGTGAGACCCTAGGTATAAGTCTGAAATACACAAATATGTAATTATATAGGTACTAAATTATATTTATATATAATGAAATATATCTAATATATTTATATTTATTATAAATATATTATATATAAATAATAAATATATATTTCATTATATATAATATATAGATTTCATTATACATAATATATATATATATATATTTCATTAGGTCATAAGTAGGCTTCCAAAATAAATTGGAGAAGCTATAAAACATAGGTTTTAAGAAATAAGCATGATATTTACCATTCTCATTTAACCAAAATAGAAAGAAGTAATAATATAATCACCAGAGAGAGCATGGTTGATCCTAAGGCCTTTTGTTGGAAATGGTGAACATGAAGCTGATTGAAAGAAATATGTTCTGAAGGAGAAGGGAAACATCTGTTTTGGGGATGGAACTGGAAAGAAAAATGGCTACAGATAGTATGTATAGGGATGGAAGAGAGAAGAAGAAAGTAGGGCTCATGTCCGCCAGCCTTTTCCTGTCTGGAAAGTTGATGGCACCATCTGTAAAGTGAAGCTGGAAAATTAGGAATAAAGTATTTGATGTGAAAAAATAAGTTTATAATGAGCAATGTGCAGAGCCAGCTTGATTCATCAGAAAACCACTTAAAGGAATTGGGGGTAGAATGATGGCTCAATTTACATAATACAGACTTTGTGATTTAGAAATGAAGCAAGTTGGATTGATCTCTAATTTTTGAAATTTATGTATATTCACGATATGAGGAAGAATGGGAAAATTCTATCTTGGAGCTTGGTTAAAAAATCAAGAAAGCATTAAAAACAAATTGTATCTTGGACAAATGTTGTTGATTTACAATTATTTAATTAAATAACTTTATTTCATTTTTTTCTGTTGTGTTATCATTCCAGCATCTTCAACCCAGATTTCAAATACCAGTGTTTTCAAACGAGATGAGAATCCAGAACCTGCATGTATTCTGGAGAAAAAAAATGAAGCTAACCCCCTAGGCGGACAGAGGGATTCTAATAAGCAAGGAGGTAGTTATACACAAGGAAACACAGGAACATTTCGTCTTCAAGGACAACCAGGATATTTTAACAAGCTAGGGAAACCAAGGAATTTTAAGCAAGGAAGACCAGGAGTTTTGAACCAGCCTGGGATTTTAAAGAATTCAGGAAAATCTAACCAAAAAGGGAATCCAGAATCTTCTAATACGCAAGAAAAATCAGGATCTTCTAGCAAACTAGGGAAACCAGTATTTTCTACCCATCAGAGAAATCCAGGGTCATCTGGCCAACAAGGGAAACCAGGGTCATTTAGCCAGAAAGTGATGGTGGAGTCATCTAGCCAACAGGGGAAGCCAAGATCAGCTAGCCAACAAGGGAATCTAAGGTCATCTACCCAGAAAGGGAATTTAGTATCTTCTAGTCAACAAGGGCATCTAGGGTTATCTAGTCATCAAGGGAAACCAGAGTCATCTAGCCAGCAAGGGAAGCCTGGGTCATCTAGCCAACAAGGAAATCTAGGATCTTCTAGCCAACAGGGGAAGCCAGGATCTTCTAGCCAACAGGGGAAACCAGGGGCATCTAGTCAACAAGGAAATGTGGGATCTTCTAGCCAACAAGGGAAACCAGGGTCTTCTAGCCATCAAGGAAAGCCAGGGTCATCTAGCCAACAAGGAAATCTAGGATCTTCTAGCCATCAAGGAAAACCAGGGTCTTCTAGCCATCAAGGGAAGCCAGGGACATCTAGCCAACAAGGAAATGTGGGATCTTCTAGCCAACAAGGGAAACCAGGGTCTTCTAGCCATCAAGGGAAGCCAGGGTCATCTAGTCAACAAGGAAATCTAGGGTCATCTGGCCAGCAAGGAAATCTAGGATCTTCTAAGCAGCAGGGGAAGCCAGGGACATCTAGCCAGCAAGGAAATGCAGGGTCATCTGGCCAGGAATGGAAGCCAGGGACATCTAGCCAACAAAGAAAATTAAGGTCAATTTACAACCAACAACAAAGAAAAAATATCAACAACACTTTGAATGACAATATAATGGACTTTCAGGTTAGTGTTAATACCTTCATTTTCTCTGTCAGCTTGCCCCAGCAGTTCTATTTTCTAAGACTTAAAATGCTTAAAAAAACACTATGAGGCCGGGTGCGGTGGCTCACGCTTGTAATCCCAGCACTTTGGGAGGCCGAGGTGGGTGGATCACAAGGTCAAGAGATCGAGACCATCCTGGTCAACATGGTGAAACCCCGTCTCTACTAAAAATACAAAAATTAGCTGGGCATGGTGGCGCACACCTGTAGTCCCAGCTACTCAGGAGGCTGAGGCAGGAGAATTGCTTGAACCCAGGAGGCGGAGGTTGCGGTGAGCTGAGATAGCACCATTGCACTCTAGCCTGGGTAACAAGAGCAAAACTCTGTCTCAAAAAAAAAAAAAAAAAGAACACTATGTATTAATGACAAATCACTTGCAATGGCACTGATTAAACAAAATAAGAACTTTGGAGCTGATTATTTTTATGCATAACGCTTATGATTATTAATGAATATACTGCCTCTCTATTTTATCTTTCGTTCCCTATATCAGCTTCCACTCAAGCCCCCTCTACCTATACTAGAATAAATCAGACTCTCATCAACTGAACCTACACCTTTGCCAGGTTTATCTTTCATGTCCATTTTTACCCAATCAATAATCTATAAATCACTGAAGTGATACTTCTAAATCAAAAATCCTCTCTGATATTTTAGACCCCTACTCAAAATTCCCCAGTGGCTTCGTTCTACTAGAAGATATAACTTAAACTCCTAAATGTGGAATTCACAGATTTTCATGATTATATTGCATACTGTTTAGCTTCATTTCATGTCACTGTTGCTCACACACCACCCATATTATTATACAGAGCCCTTTTATTTTCTACTCATGTATTCCTAATACTAATGATTTCCTCTATTATTGAACTCACCTTATTACTTTGTAATTGAGTGTCTATCCCCAGAGCCTAGAATAGGTGTGGCATATAGTAAGTTCTCTTGAACTGCATGTTAGATGGATAGATAAATGCCTGCCACTTGGAAGCCATCATTGCAAATAGGTGAATATCTCTGATCCACGTTTCCTGTGTTCCCTTCTGAGTCTTGCTGTGCTTTGACTGTCACTTGCCAGCTTCTCTGCCAACAATCAACCTCCTAATTTATTTAACAATTACTCTCAATCCTCCATTTGATACTGACATTCAAAACAGTTTTCTAGAACACTTCCTCTACCTCATCGTCTTAATGGAAACTGTATTTTTTACCTCATAAATTTTTATTCCTCAAAAGCCTTTCAAGTAAAGGCTACTTGTTCTCTTAGTCATTATCACTTGGCTGGCATGAAGTAGTAATCCCTCAGAGAGACTAGTACCATTCAGAACTTAATGCCATCACCAGAGGGTCTCTGAGTTTTTAGGAAGTCACTTAAATTTTGCGATTTTATATTTATTCCAGAATAGGAGAAATAACCATGTCCACTTAACAGAGTATGTGTGAAATAAATTGATTGTCATGAAAGAGTTGTATGATTTGGAAAATATAGAGGTATTTTTTTATCTCCCTATAACATCTCAGCTCTGAGAATACTGCATCCTCTATCAAAAATATCTCATCATTCTCATTTACGTCTCTGTCCTCACCTCCTAGTCAAAGCTTACTTATATTCACAGGCTTCTGCCATTAAGCTCACATCCAAAGGAAATGCCTCAGGTATTATTTAAACAAATCCTGCGAAATCCTACTTGCTCTATAACTTTTCTTTCATGGACATACAAAAAAAGAGATTCAATAAATTATGACTGTGTTTACATGATTTGTATTTGCTAGTATGACTTTTCCCTGACTATGAATTTTCCATGTAAAAGAAGACTTGTCTCCAAAAAATTAAAACAAAGGCAGTATGACACGTAGTAAGAGCAGGGCCTTTGAGTAGATAGAGTTTGAATCACATCTTGGACATTTAATCTGTTCATAATCACTGGTCTGTCAATAAATCCATTCTGCCTTTATGCGTGCAGCTATAAAATAGGACAAAATATACTGTTTTTAAATTGTTTTAATGTTTTGAAGATACATGGTAGGTATGTATATTTATAGGTTACATGAGTTATTTTGATACAGTCTTGCAATGTGTAATAATCACATCATGGTAAATGGGGTATCCATCATCCCCAGCATTTATCCTTTGTGCTACAATCCAGTTATACTCTTTGCTTATTTTAAAACATACAATTAATTGTTTTTGACTAGAGTCACCCTGCAGTGCTAGTGAATGCTACGGTCTTACTCATTCTTTCTATATTTTTACACCCCTTAACCATCTGCACTTCCTCTTCCTCCCCCAGCTACACTTCCCAGCTTCTAGTAAACATCCTTCTACTCTCTATCTCCATGAGTTCAATGAAAAAAATTTTTAGCTCCCACAACAAGTGAGAGCATGTGAAGTTTGTCTCTCTGTATTTGGCTTATTTCACTTAACCTAATAGTCTTCATTTAGTTCCACCCATATGGTTGCTGATGACGGGATCTCATTCTTTCTTATGGCTGAATTGTGTGTATTTTTTATTGGCTGAATTTTTATGGCTCCATTGTATATATGTGTCACATTTTCTTTATCCACTCACCTCTTGATGTAAACTTAAGTTGCTTCCAAATATAGGCTATTGTAAATAGTGCTACCATAAACATGGGAGTGGAGATACCGCTTCAATATACTGACTTCCTTTCTTTTGGGTATATAACTAGAAGTGGGCTTACTGGATCGTCAGGTACCTCTATATTTAGTTTTTGAGGAACCTCCAAACAGTTCTCCATAGTATTTATGTTAACTTACATTCTTACCAACAGTGTATGAAGATTCATATACATTCCTTTCCTCCACATTCTCACCAGCATTTTTTAGTGCTTGACTTTTGTAGAACCATTTTAACTGGGGCGAGAAGATATATCATTGTAGTTTTTATTTGCATTTCTCTAATGATTAATGATGCTTAGCACCTGTTCATATACTTGTATTTATTTTTTTGAAAAATATTTATTTGTATTTATTCTTTGGAAATATATTCATATAGATTTTTTGTCCATTTTTTAATTGAATTATTAGATTTTTTACTGTAGAGGTTTTTTGAGCTCTTTACATATTCTGGTTATTAAGCCCTTACCAGATGAGTAGTTTGCAAATATTTCTTTAATTCTGTGGGTTATCTCTTCACTTCCTTGATTGTTTCCTTTGCTGTGCAGTTTTTCGATGTGGTGTGGTCCATTGGTCCATTTTCTCTATGGTTGTCTGTGTTATTTACATATTACTTAAGAAACCTTTGCCAGTCCGATGTTCGAGGGAGTTTCACCAAACTTTTCTTGAAGTAGTTTCATAGTTTGAGATCTTAGATTTTGATCTTTAATCCATTTTGAGTTGATTTTTGCGTATGGTGAGAGACAGTGTTGTGGTTTTATTTTTCTGTATATGGATATCCAGTTTTCTCAGCATCATTTATTGAAGACTGTCCTTTTCCCAGTGTATATTCTTGGCACCTTTGTCAAAAATGGGTTCATTGTGGACATATGGCTTTATCTCTGGGTTCTCTATTCTGTTCCACTGATTTCTGTATCTGCTTTTATGCCATTACCATGCCATTTTGGTTACTATAGATTTGTAGTATAATTTGAACTCGGGTAATGTGATTCCTCAAGTTTTCTCTTTGTTTTCTTTTGCTTAGGATAGCTTTAGTTATTGTAGGTATTTTGTGTTTCCACATAAATTTTAGCATTGTTTTATCTATCTTCGTGAAAAATGTCATTGATATTTTAATAGGGATAGCATTGAATCCATAGATTGTTTTGGGTAACATAGACACTTTAACAACATTGATTATTCCAACCCATGAACATAAAATATCTTTCCATTTTTTAGGGTCCTTTTTAATTTCTTGCACCAATGTTTTAGAGTTTTTATTGTAGAGATTGTTCACTTCTTTAGCTAATACCTAGGTATTTAATTTAATTTGTAACTAAGGTAAATTGAATTACTTTCTCGATTTCCTTTTTAGATTGTTCATTATTGGAGTATAAAATCCTACTGGTTGTTCCATGTTGATTCTTTTCCTGCAAATTTACTGAATCTGTTTATCAGTTCAAATAGTTTTTTGGTAGAGCCTTTAGGTTTTTTTCAAATATGAGATCAGATTATCTGCAAGCAAAGATAACTTGGCGTCTTTGTTTCCAATTTGAATGCCTTTTTTATCCCTCTTGTCTGATTCTTCTAGGATGACTTTCAGTACTATGTTGAGTAAAAGTTGGGCATCCTTGTTGTGTTCCCAATCTTGGATGAAAGGGTTTCAGTTTTCCCTTGTTTAGTTTAATATTAGCTGTGAGTCTGCTGCACACTGCTTTTATTTTGTTGAGGTATATTCCTACTATATCCAGATTTCTAAGGCTTTTTATCATAGAGAGATGTTGAATTTTATCAAACGCTTCTTCAGCATTAATTGAAATGTTCATATAGTTTTTGTTCTTTATTTTGTTCACATGACATATCACATTAGTTAACTTGTATATGTTAAACCATCCTTGCATCCCTAGGATAAATCCCACTTGGTCATGATAAACGATCTTTCTAATGTGTTGTTGAATTTGGTTTGCTAGCATTTTGTTGAGAATTTTTGCATCAATATTCATCAGAGGCATTGGGCTATAGTTTTTGTTTTTTTTTTTTAATCTTCTGATGCCTTTTTGTCTGGTTTAGGTATAAGGGTAACATTGGACTCATACAATAAGATTGGAAGTATTCCCTTCTCCATTTTCCAGAATAGTTTGAGTATAAATGATATTAGATCATCATTAATTATTTGATAGAAATAAGCAGTGAAGCCATCAGATCCTAAGCTTTTCTTCCAATATTTACTACAGCTGGGAATGTATTGAGTCCCATTTGAAGCCTGCAAGTCTCAGAATCTCACCCAAGGCCCTTGGTGTGCTACCTGAAAAATGCTGCTGATTATTCAGGGCCCATGGGCCCTTTAGTCAGCAGGTGCTGGGTCCTGAAAGAACTGGATCCTTCCCTTCAAGAAAGAAATTTCCCTCGTGGCCCAGGGTGTGTTCAGATATGTCATCTGGAAGCTAGTGTCTGGAAAGGGGCCTCATGAATCTAACTGGTGCCCTCTCCTACTGTTGCTGAGCTGGTAAAGATATCTTTACTCTTCCTTTTCTTCTCCTCAAGTGAAAAGAAGAGGTCTCTTTCGGAGCTGAGAGCCTTTTAGGTCAGGGTTTGGGGAGGGGTGGTGCAAGCACTCCCTTAATCACCCTGATGTCTCAGGTCATGTGCCCCGCAAATCCACTGGCTCTGATCCCTGTTCAGCAGAAGACTCAACCTAGTATTTGCAGTCCTTGAGGCCTAGACTGTCTTTCAAATTTATGTAAAGCCCCAGAGCACTTTAGCCTATGATAGCAAGGTTTGCCAGAGCTCAAGTTCTGACTGCTGAGATGGGCAATTCTCCTCTGGCTAGGGCTGATTTAACTTTTCCCTCTATGGGTGGGCGTCACCTGAGTTCAACTCAGTTTTGATTTCTCCTTTGACAGGGCAGCACTGACTTAGTGCAATGTCTCACAACTGCTGTGCTCTCTTTTTTCCACGCAAACAGATTCTCTGTCCATGCCATGCTGCCTCTGCAACAGGATGAGAGAGAGGTGGCATCAGCAATTCAAGACCATCTTTTCTCACCCTTTTAGTGCCTCCTTCAGTGATAAAGTTCAAACTAGATACTGTGAGAGCCCACCTGATTTTTGGTTCTTACCTAGGTGCTTCTTTTGTGTAGATAGTTGTTAAATTGTTGTCCTTGTTGGGGAGTGGGGGATATCAGTGGAATCTTCCTTTTGCTAACTTGCTCTACCAAAATATACCCTTTTTTCAGTTCTGGCATAAGAATTAAATACAAAAGTCAGTAAAATAATTGGTTGATTACAATGCTTAATAATAAATGAGTAATGATTTTTTTTTTCCTTTTTCTTTCTTTTTGAGACAGAGCTGAGTCTCGCTCTGTTGCCCAGGCTGGAGTGCAGTGGTGCCATCTCAGCTTAGTGCAACTTCTGCCTCCCAGGTTCAAGCAATTCTCCTGCCTTAGCCTCCTGAGTAGCTGGGATTATAGACATGCACCACCAAGCACAGCTAATTTTTTGTATTTTGTTTTTCAGTAGAGATGGCGTTTCACTGTGTTAGCCAAGATGGTCTCGATCTCCTGACCTCATGATCTGCCTGCCTTGGCCTCTCAAAGTGCTGGGATTACAGGCATCAGTCACCATGCTCGGCCATGAATATGTTTATTATAATATCTGAATTAAATTAATTACTCTAGTTTTAACAATATCTCACATTTCCACAGACTGGCAGTGCCAGCAGCAAGAACTCAACTACCAAAACAAAATGTCTATCTGTCTACAAACCAGTCTGTGCTTCTGATGGAAAAACCTATGGTAACCATTGCATACTTAATGAAGCAAAGAGGTAAGAAGGCTTTGTATTTCTTTCTATAAAGAAGTACTATTCTGTTTCACAGGGAATAAAAGATGATTACTCTCCACATCTTTGTGTTTTTCTCTTAATGATAGCATGGCTATTGTTTGTCCAAAGAAAACAAAAAGATACTTAAATAAAATTAAACCTTGAACAGTCAGTTCAGTCAATTCTTGGGGGAATGTGGTTTATTCATTTAATAAAGTAGAAGTAAATTTACTTTTGAGTAATTTATTTAGGAAATATATATCGAATGTCAATTATATAGCAGAAAATGCTCTGAGAACTGGAGGTAAAATGGTAAGTAACACACAGAAATTCCTGCAATGGAACACAAACAAATGCCATATATCAGAGTATAAAGAGGACTATAAAGCCTATTGATTACTAATTGCTGCCTACTCAATTGTGTTTTAACCCTAAATAACAATAGCAGAGGTGGATTTGGTGAGTGAATCAAATCTTTGAGTTACACACTACCTACAGAAATAAATTATAAAGCTGTTTTAAACTGTAACCTGTGTCTAAAACAATAGATATTTTAGCTTTTAGAATTTTTTAACGTTCAACTATGAAAGGTGGAGATAATGTAATAATACTTGTTTTGTTTTCAACAGTTCTAGAATTTGTAAGTACTTTGTAAAACTCTTATTGCAGAAATAAATAAATAGAAAGTTAAGTGTTCCAGTAGCCAGGCAGTTTGAATTAGAAAGGGCATTAGGTAACAATTCCCTAATATTATTGATAAGCCATCTGGGCCAGAGATGAGAAGGGACTGACTCAAAGTGCACATTCTTGGGACAGTCAATGAAAACCACACAAGCCAGCATCTAGGTCTGTGCCCTTCCAAGTGAGTTTTAAATAATCTCATTTTCTCTTTATGATGATGCTACAACCATTCAATCCTTGATTACTCTCATTTTTTTCAGGTTGAGTAATGGAAAACTGAGTTTGAACCATGAGGGAGAATGCTAAGCGTCTATGTGAACCAAATTACTTGGAAGTCAAAATTCACTGGCAAGTCTCCTCAAACAATGATTTCCCTGGGAATTCCATTGAGAGATCAGCTTGAATCTTACAGATCTAATGGATCCCGCATAATTTTCAAGTTTGTTTCATGTCAAATAAAGTCAGTTCCAGAGTAATTTCTCCTTTCTTGGATTGTTTGCTTTCTAGACTTTCCCAGATTTTATGTGTCTGTGATCCATCTGTTCTCAAAGTGCCAAATCAGTTATGAATTCCATTCTTTCCTTCAGGGATAACACTTCAGGACCTAGGTCACCAATTAGTGAATCCTAATAGACCTAGGAATCTCAGAATTGCATGTAAAAAATGAAGAATCCTCACTTTAGAAATACTAATTTGGGGATCTAGCAGAGCTAAAGAAACTGCAATTCAATACCACATTACAGGTTTTTCTGACAAAGTTTGTCTCTGGACATCATGCAAAACTGATTTAAGATCTTTTTTTTTTTTTTTTAAAGAGATGGGGTGTCACCATGTTGGCCAGGCTGGTCTTGAACTCCTGACCTCAGGTGATCCACCCATCTCGGCCTCCCAAAGTGCTGGGATTACAGGCTTGAGCCACCGCACCCGGCCTGATTTAAGATCTTTTTAAGGACAATCAGTTGACTCAGAGGGCCCATAAAACAATATACAAAATAAATCTTCTATGTGCTTTTTTCTTAAGAGAGTATTCAAAGCTACTCTTGGATTCTGAAAGGGTTCTATGACTACAAATATATTCCAAAATGATAGATCGTTAGTCATTAAAATGTAAAAATTGACATATTAGTATGTTTAAGCTCATTATAGCCTGAAATTTAGATGATTTAGAATAAATTTCTCCAGAATATTAATCATATTGATTGGCCACATGGAGCTCAAGGCGAGAAAAGAAATCTAGCAAATGGTAGGATGAGAGCTATTAAAAATGGTTTGCAGAAACTGTCAGCAGCTGTGTTGAGCAAGATATGGAGGCCAACGGGGAATGAAAGTACAGTACAAACTCAGCATGCGCCATATACTAATGTCTGCATTTCTCCTACATTTGTTATGCTGGATCTAGATATTCTTAATATCAATTGCTGCCTGAATTCTCTACTGTGAAACCTGGCTTCAGTTATAAAAACCTTGGCTGTAAAAATAATTTTATTCACCATTTTAAAATTATGTCAATAGCTACACCCTTCTTACTAAAAAGAAATATGTATAAATTCCAAAAAAGAGAAAAACCTTAATTTTATCATCCAAAAGTAACCAATTTTAGTATTTTGGTATATTAATGTTTGATTTTTTAAAAAATTATTACCATAGATAATATTCAGACATCATATACTAATTTAAATGTGTCTATGATTATAAAAATATTAAATGTACCCATTAGGATGGCTATAGTCAAAAAAGAAAGATAATAAAATATATTCATGAGAATGTGGAGAAAGTGTAACTTTTTATTACTAATGGGAATGTAAGAAGGCATACCATTTTGGAAAACACTTTGGATAAAAGTTTTTCAGATTCTTAAAGACCTCAACATACATCTGCCATGTGAATCATTCATCCATTCTAATACTGATATTTATCCACCATAAAAAAATAAAAAAACAGAAGTCCATGCAAATACTTTTACACTAGTGTTCATAGCAACATTAACCATATAACCAAAAGAGTGGAAACAATCCAAATATCTATCAGCTGGTAAATAAGTGACAGAATTTAGCTTATCAACATAAAATGGAATGCCATTCATTATTTAAAAATAATGAACTACTGTTGCACGATATAGAGTATATAAACTTCCAAATGATTACGCCCAATGAAAATGTAAATTTTAAAGACTACATATTGTTTTATTCTGTTTATATAAAATATCCAGTAAAGGTAATACAATAGAGAATGTAGAATTGTAGCTGCTTGGAGCTAAGGGTGAAAGAGGGATTAACTGCAATCAGAAGAATCTTTTTGGGTGATATAAATGATCTAAAATTTGATTGCAGTGGTGGGTTCGTATCTCTGACATAGTCACAAAAAATCAATTTATTATGTCTAAAATAACTTTTCGGTAGGCAAATACCTCAAATAGGCTGCTTTATTACTCACTGTAATTGTGGCTAAAGTACGGAGTCAATGTCTAATAAGATTTTTATAAGAAATCCCATTACTGGGTATATATTCAAAGGATTATAAATCGTTCTACTATAAGGACACATGCACACGAATGTTCATTGCAGCACTGTTTACAATAGCAAAGACCTGGAACCAACCCAAATGCCCATCCATGATAGACTGGATAGGGAAAATGTGGTACATATACACCATGGAATATTATGCAGCCATCAAAAACGATGAGTTCGTGTCCTTTGTAGGGACATGGATGAACCTGGAAACCAGCGTTCTCAGCAAACTGACACAAGAGCAGAAGATCAAACACCGCATGTTCTCACTCATAGGTGGGTGTTGAACAATGAGAACACATGGACACAGGGAGGGGAGCACTACACACTGGGATCTGTTGGGGGGAAATAGGGGAGGAACAGTGGGGGATGGGGAGTTGGGGAGAGATAGCATGGGGAGAAATGACAGATATAGCTGAGGGGAAGGAAGGCAGCAAATCGCACTGCCATGTGTGTACCTATGCAACAATCTTGCATGCTCTTCACATGTACCCTAAAACCTAAAATGCAATAAAAAAAAAAAAAGAATTAAGATGACACATGGGAGGCAACCTGACATGTGGGAGGCTACCTTTTGCAGATAATAGTCACTTGATGGGCCGGGCGCGGTGGCTCAAGCCTGTAATCCCAGCACTTTGGGAGACCGAGGCGGGTAGATCACGAGGTCAAGAGATCGAGACCATCCTGGTCAACATGGTGAAACCCAGTCTCTACTGAAAATACAAAAATTAGCTGGGCATGGTGGCACGTGCCTGTAATCCCAGCTACTCAGGAGGCTGAGGCAGGAGAATTGCCTGAACTCAGGAGGCGGAGGTTGCGGTGAGACGAGATTGTGCCATTGCACTCCAGCCTGGGTAACGAGAGCGAAACTCCTCCTCCTCAAAAAAAAAAAAAAAAAAAAAAAAAAAAAAAGTCACTTGATGAAGAAGAGTTTCCATTTTCTAATAGACAATTGCTTTAACAAGTACAGTGAATGATCCTAGAGAACAGAGACTGCATCTGCTTTCTCTAATCAACTTGTCTTTATCGTCTGATATAGTGCTTGACACATTGTAGCCTTTTATGTAATATGTTGAATAAATATAAAAAAAGAATGCGTATATGAACATGTCATATTCAATGAAGAATTATTTTAAAAGCATTTATTTTAAAAAGGCCATGCACTAGGTGATTAATGAAAAGTATTACCCTAATGATAAAAAGAAACACTTATTTAAATGAAGATAAAATATTTAACATTTTTTGAGTGAGATATTTATGATTTTCATTTTCATTAGGTTTTACATTATCAAATGTGCACTTAAGGTATTATTTTTAAAACTGTCATTAAATAATTGAACATCAGGAATCAAAATTCTAAAGTCCAAAATCTTACGAGTTGGAAAGAATCGTGAACATGCTATGTTCTATCTTGTGTTCCACAGAAGAATTCACCGGGATGTCTGTGAATTTAAGACTCCAATTAATTACTAATTCGAATTGTAGAATCTATTGCAAAATTGGCTTACATTAATGCCATATGAATATACAGCTCCTTTAAAATTCAGCAAGCACCAGAATGATAAAATTTAAGTTTTTTACCACAAAGTCTGTAGAGAAAGAAAGACAGAAAAAGACATTACTAAAAGATCAAGTTAAATTCATTTGGGAAGTGGACCAAATTCTTCTCAATGAGGATTTGAACTTGGGACAGGATGAAGCTGTGCTCCACTTCTACAAACAACTGAGAACCACCTGTTCACCAGGCCTACATATATCCCATTGTGGGGACAATTGAGCCTTTCTGCTTGCTCAGGCCAGACTCAATTTTGGAACCTACACATAATTTAAGGAGAAGATTAATAATTATATTTGTTGTTCTTCAGAAGGAGATGGTAACTGGGAAAATATAAGTGGAAAGATTTTTTTTTCTTTATTTTAAATTATACTTTAAGTTCTGGGGTACATGTGCAGATCATGCAGGATTGTTACATAGATATACACATGCCATGGTGGTTTGCTGCATCCATCACCCCGTCATCTACATTAGGTATTTCTCCTAATGTTATCCCTCCCCAATGCTCCCACCCCCAGCTATTCCTCCCCTGCCCCCCAACAGGCCCCGGTGTGTGATGTTCCCTTCCCTGTGTCCATGTGTTCTCATTGTTCAACACCCACCTATGAGTGAGAACATGCGGTGTTTGGTTCTCTGTTCTTGTGTCAGTTTGCTGAGAATGATGTTTTCCAGATTCATCCATGTCCCTGCAAAGGACATGAACTCATCCTTTTTTATGGCTGCATAGTATTCCATGGTGTATATGTGCCACATTTCCTTTATCCAGTCTACCATTTATGGGCATTTGGGTTGCTTCCAGGTCTTTGCTATTGTGAACAGAGTGCCACAATGAACATATGTGTGCACGTGTCTTTATAACAGAACGATTTGTAATCCTTTGGGTATATACTCAGTAATGGGATTGCTGGGTCAAATGATATTTCTATTTCTAGATCCTCTAGGAATCGCCACACTGTGTTCCTCAATGATTGAACCAATTTACACTCCCACCAACAGTGTAAAAGCGTTCCTATTTCTCCACATCGTCTCCAGCATCTGATGTCTACAGATATTTTAATGATCGCCATTCTACCTGTCATGAGATGGTATCTCAATGTGGTTTTGATTTGCATTTGTGTAATGACCAGTGATGATGGGCATTTTTTCATGTTTGTTGGCTGCATAAATGTCTTCTTTTGAGAAGTGTCTGTTCATATCCTTTGCCCACTTTTTGATGGGGTTGTTTTTTTCTTGTAAATTTGTTT